TTCCGGCGTCCGCGGCTCTTTCACCCGAGCCCCCCTGCTCGCCTTGCCCCTGGGGCGGAGGCAGCAGGCGCCGCCAGCGTGGGCGCTGGGCTCTCGGTTTTTCTCTTGGTGCTGCTGCTCACCCGCAGCATGGGCGTGGGGGGCCAGAGGGGAGGTGTGTGTGCAGCGTGTAGTTGTGGGGGTGTGGGCGTGTGGGCGTGCACGCGCGCTCTGCGGCAGCCCCTGCTCACTGGAGACAGCCACCCCTGTGCAGTCCCGCCTCTCTTCTCTTTGCCGGACCAGAACCCCCTCCGCCCTTTTCTTCTCTTCTGGGAGGCTGAGCCCGTGCAGGTCTCGCACTAACAATCCGAGCAGGGAGTCGTAGAGATGGAGAGACTTGGGCGCGGTGCAGATAGTGTTCCACGGCTCTTTGCTCAGATTGAGGGTCGGTTGCCCTTCCGTCGTCTCCGTTCCCTGAGCTGGGCAGCTTCTGCAGGAGTCGCGGCGGGTGCTCCTTAAATTCTCGTTGCCAACACTGTCCGAAGAGCGGGAGTGGGAGCAGGCAGTCCAGAGAGGACTCTCTGTGTTCCTTCTCTCGGGGCTCCTAGGAACGCTGCGTTCGAGGGTGCAGTTTTCCCCTTGAAGATAACCTTAAAGATAACACTACAAACGTTCTTGTTTTCCTTATTAACCCATTGTAGGAGTGGTATAATGCGATTATTCAAATCTTAGAAAAGTTGTATTTTCAGCCTGTGCAACATGTTTAGATAATAAGGTCTATAAATTAACAACCCAGAGGGTGAAGCTGGTCATTGTTTTATTTGTCCTGAACGTTCCTTTTTTCAAATGTCAAAAATATTATCAAGTTTTTTAAAGTGGCATTTGGTGGAAGTATCCTAAATTCTGTCTGGTCCCTTCCTGATTTTATCTGCTTTTCTCACATTCGCTCAGTGTGTTTGGAGCAGAAGGAAATAAATTTAGGCTTATGAATTTGATATACTAAACTCCTCGTGTGACCTTGGGCAAGTCTTTTCCTGCACCTCAGTTTCTTCATTTGTAAAATAGCTTTGGCACAAAGCTTAAATGAGATAAAGAACAGGCATTACGTGGAAGCTTAATATGGCAGCCCCGTTGGAAAACCACACTCACACTTAGTGTATCAGTCAATTACTGCCACCACATTCTGTGTAACAAACGAGCACAGGACTCTGCTTAAAACAACAATCATTTGTGTCTTCAGGTCAGCTGCGGCTGGATTGGGCTAAGCTGGATGTAGCTCCCAGCTGCTGGTTAGAACCAGGTCTGCCCCTCAGGTGTATCACCTTCTGGACCAGGCTCTAACTGGAGCTTGTTCTCCTCAAGGTGATGGCAAAATAGCAAGAGGGCTCTAGCATAAGAGTGTAGAAGTATTGAAGAGTGTGTAAAAACATGTCATGTCATCTCCTGTTAACATCCTTGTGGCAAACCTGCCATCAATGGAGTAGGGAAGTATGTTCTGCCCATGGTGGGAGCGGTAAGGGAATGAATATTCCCTGACTAATAATCGAACTTCACAGGTTAGGCAAACAACTGTAACAAACATTCCCAAAGTGTCTTAATGCAATAAGAGTATTTTCCATTTATACAGCAACATATATGCTGATGTTTTTGGTCAGGCAGATCTCCATGTAGTGACCTAGGCATCCAGGCCTTTTCTCTTTTGTCACTCTGCCCTCCTCTAGGTCCTGAAGTTTACTCTATCCAGCCAGTGAATGGGAAAAGGGGAGACGATAGAGGACTGTAGCAGTTTTTATGGTCCAGGCTTGGAAGTAGTCATCATTACATCTGCCCTCATCTCTTTGGCCAGGACTCAGTTACACGGTCTCACCGAACTGCAAGGGAGGCTGGAAAATGTAGTCAAGCTGTGTGTCCAAGAGTAAAAGAAAGCAGGATTGGATGGACATGGAGCAGTCTCTGTCATATACTATTGAAAGATCTGCCAAACTTGGGCATGAAAATATTCAGACATCCAGAGACATTGACTCTGTGGAGGCAGATGCCATGCCAAGCATTATTTAGCTTCCTGGGCACCACCCTTTGCCTAAGATAGGAATTTTCAGTTGTTCCAATTTGAACCCATGGTGAACTCCAATTCCAACTTCCTTTTATTTGGGAAACAAAGGAATCTATATCTTCTAGTTATAGCTATGGAGACATACATTTCAAAGTATGCAGGATTCCCAAACAAAGGAGCTTTAAGTGGACTTGCATACATTTTAATTCTCACTCATTGCAGCTCTGTGGCCCATCTCTAAGGAAGCAGATAGCCTCTTTGACACTTGCTGCTTAAGAACAATGGTCATAGAAAAAAAATTTGTAACTGTACCGTGATGGATGTTAGCTAATCTTATTGTGATCATTTCTCAATATATACAATTACTGAAACATTATATTCTATACCTGCAACTAATAAAATGTTATATGTCAATTATATCTCAATAATAAGAAGAACAATGGTCAAATTATTAGTCTCATCCGATCCCATGAGTAGTGGTTTTAAAATGTCTACATATTCTTTGACATTTCTCCCGCTATTTCTTGAGTACAGACTGTCCCTCATGACTTTCTTTTAGTGAATAAAATGTGCCAGAAGTTATGCTTTTTGACTTATGAATGTAGGTCGTAAAAGGCCATAGAACTCTGCCTGACTCTTTCAGGATGCCTCCACACTCTGAGAAGACCAAGCACCTACAAGGGAAGGCCACTTGCAGGTATTCCAGCCACCGCCTCTGCTGAGGTCTGAGCTGACAGCCAGCATCAACCACTAAACATGCAAGCAAGTGAGTCTTTGAAGCTTCAAACTACTCCAGCTACTGCTGAGTGGAGCAGACACAAGCTGTCTCTGGCAAAACTGCAGAGTCACGAGCAAAATAAATGTTTTAAGTCACTAAGTTTTGGGATGTTTTGTTATGCAGCAACACATAAGTGGAACATCATGAGATGGAAAAACCATAACTTAGTTGTGCCAGGGTCTCAGGTCCCACTTGGGGATTTTTTCTAAATATCTTCCACAATACTCACACATACACTTATCCAATAAACATTTATCGAATGCCCGTGAAGTGTCTGGCAGTGTTCTGGATGTAAAAGATAGACAGATGATGAGACTCTTAAATTATGAGGCTAGTGTAAATGAATGACTTGAAGTCAATCAATAAGCACATGCTCATGCCTTGTATTCACTTATGACTTGGGTGTCATTTATGTCTGACAACATTTTAGCTTGTTCCTTGGAACAGACTGTATACTGTTCACAGATGGTATAGAGAAAGCTGAACCACTCGACTCCAATTACATTTCCATCTTCTTTGTTGAGACGGATGCCTTGGAAAATGTAGAGCTAATAAAAGGGACCTAATGGATTCTCCATGACTGTCAACCTGGGGGTGCGGGAACCTTTGGAGATTTGTCATGGGACTCCAACTCCCAGGGCTGTTCAGTTTGACATTATTTTTTTTCAGGGACTTGAATAGGGGTGTAGATAGAATGCTGATAATATTAGGAAGGTTGCAACTCTGTAAATGCCAAAGCAAGCTGGATTCAATGGAGAAATGGACAAAATATGATGAGATGAACTTGCTAGGGACAGATGAGGAGACTATAAACCCTACAAGGACAAAGAGCCGTGATTACCATGCTTAACTCTCAAGTGGCAGTGAGATTTGTGGCTGTATGATTAGGGAGAAAGAGTTCTGTCCAGAATTTCCTTTGAATATAAGGAAAATGTTGACTCTTGCTTCAGGGCCTTTGCCCTTGCTGAGATGCTCCCGTGAGATGCCCTGCTTGGTCTAAATATTCACATTGTGCACCTTCTTATTTTATTTAGAAAACTGCTTAAGTGTCCTCTCCTCAGAGAACCTTCCTTGGCCACTCAGAGCAACACTCCTGTCATTCTCTAAACATATTTTTTTTTCACAGAACCCGTCTCTGTCAAACATGTTGTATATTCATTTCTTTGTTTGTTGTCTATCTCCTGCTGTAGGAAGTAAGAGACCTCATCTGTTTCATTTACTACTGCATCCCCAGCACCAAAGGCAATGCCTGAAATAGAGCAATAAGTGCTCAATGAATATTCTTTGAACAAATGCATAAAAATCCTAATTGAAATGGAATGAACTACTTTGGGGGAGTTCCCCGACATTGGAGGCACTCAGTGAGACACGAATATAGTGAAGTATGTAGCCTGTTATAGAGCTAGTTCAAGCTTTGGGAGGGAGCAGGCTCACAAGTGAGCAAAACTGCCTCTCCCTAGATGACCTCTCTGGTCCTTCTCTTGCTCTCATTCCAGTTGTGAAACAGCTTCCTTTTGTGTATCAGTTTTGCCAGCCTGAAAATAGTCATGTGACTCTCACAAAAAGGAGGTTTGAGAAGCAAAGAAATCAGAATGTGACCTCTACATTTTCCATACCATAAAAATGCTATTTCTCTTTGTAGGTCATGGAGTTTAAGGACTTGTCCAAGATAAAATTGTGAAGAAAGTAAAGCAGGCCTTTGAGGTTCAGCCTCAGTAATGATTGGCCTGCTCTGTAGATGTGTGGATAAACCCCTAAAT